CACTGTTCCATCTGTTCCCTCTGTTTGTCACTCAGGACTGGCTGCTGTCACCTCCCCTTGGGGACACGAACCTCTGCCTGTCCTGGTGTCCCTGCACACCTTGGCTGTGCCCAGAGGCGTTTGGGGACCAGAATTGTGTATCCCTGCCGGGGCTGGCATCCACTGGGGCTGGCATCCACTGGGGCTGGCATCTGCCGGGCACACGGCTCTTGGCTGTGCCAGAGGGGTTTTGGGGAGCAGAGCTGTGTGACCCTGCCGGGGCTGGCATCCACCGGGGCTGGCATCTGCCGGGCACACGGCTCTTGGATGTGCCAGGGGGGTTTTGGGGAGCAGAGCTGTGTCCCTGATGGGGTTGGCATCCGCTGGGGCTGGCATCTGCCGGGCACACGGCTCTTGGCTGTGCCCCCAGCCTGGCACAGAGCTGCCTTGGCTCGTGGGAGCTGGCATCCCCTGGCTGTGCAGGCAGAGCAGCTCCTGTGTCTCTGCTGTCCCCGTTTTTGGCAGCAGGGGAGGCCCTGTGCTCTCAGCCAGCAGCTGGCAGGGCTGGCACAGCCCATGTTTGGCCCCATGGTTTCCCAGCCCAGCCTGGGAGCAGCCTGGAATCCTGCAGGGATTGCTGCTCTCTGCTTCCTGCCTGGCTGCCACTGCCCTCAGCCTCGTGGCGTCTGCTGGGCTGGGGCTGGCCTGGGCTTCCCAAAATCGCCGAGCCTTCGGGAAGGCGTGTGGGGAGAGGTTTTGCTCCTGGAGCTCTTCCAGCTGCCTGCAAGGATCCATCTGTCCTGATCCTCCCTCCCTGGTGAGCTCACGCCTCTCCCAGCGCCGAGTCAGGGCTGTTCCAGCTGGCAGGGGCTGTGTCCCTCCTCCTCCTCCTCCTCCTCCCCATCCTCCTCCTCCTGCTCCAGCAGTGGCTCTGGGAGAGGCTGGGCTCAGCTTTCCAGACTCAGCTTCCCCAGCTCCCTGCCTGGAAGGCAGGAAACAGCGACAGATGAAAGGAGAGGAGAGCCTGGGGACAGGAGACACTTCAAAGCC